TATATATATATATATATATATATATATATGTATGTATGTATGTATGTATGTATGTATGTATGTGTATATATATATATATATTCATATATATATTAGAGTTAATGCACTTACTTGCCGGGATCCGGGATCTGACTGCAAACGGCTTTGAGTGACTGAAAGCTGTTTCTGATGGAGTGGATATTGGCCATGCCCATAAACATCACCTCACAGTTGGGATAGTACTCTACAAACACAAATAAAGCAGAGACAAACCTGCCTTCAGCCAACAAACCAACAAACAACCAATAATGTCTAACGGCATCCAGAGCTTGAGTTCAGCGGCGCTCACCTTCACACTCGCAGCCTCCTCCTTTGGCACGATTCGCCACGGCGGCGGTGTAAGAACGGGCATCCAGAATCAGTAATTTCTGTGCTGCACTGCTGGCATCAGGAGTGGGACAACCCGTCAGAGACGAGTCTGAGGAAAACAGGAGAGTAGGTGCGATTAGAGCAGAATTCTGACATACTGCATACTACACTGCATTTACTGCAGGGTTGGAAATTAATGGGGGCTTGGTGTCATCAAAATGAACAAAAATGCCCCCCAAATTCAACATAAGGGGGCATTCTATGACTTGCTCAGCAATGGATGCTCTGCAGTGAATGGGTGCCGTCAGAATGAGAGTCCAAACAGCTGATAAAAACATCACAATAATCCACAGCACTCCAGTCCATCAGTTAACATCTGGAGAAGACAAAAGCTGTGCATTTATAAGAAACAAAACCATCATCACGACATTTTTAACTTCAAATCGTTGCTTCTAGGTAAAACACGAGTCCATAATCCATTATAACGCCTCCTTCAGTGAAACGGTTTGAAGTTACAATTGTCTTGATGGATTTGTTTTTAGCTTTTGTCTTCTCCAGATGTTAACTGATGGACTGGAGTGCTGTGGATTATTGTGATGTTTTTATCAGCTGTTTGGACTCTCATTCTGACGGCACCCATTCACTGCAGAGCATCCATTGCGGAGCATACATTTCTTCAAATCTGATGAAGAAACAAACTCATCTACATCTTAGATGGCCTAAGAGGCATAAGAATTTTAAAAAAAGGAATGGAAAAGCTAATTTCTGACCCTGCAGCATACTACCAAAAATAGTATGCAACAAATGTTTCAAAGCATATCAGTCACTACACGATATACACAGGTTGTCTAAACAGACATGAACAAAAGTGAAGTGAACCGCTGGTTTGGCACAGCTTCAATCGTGATCCAATTATGATATTAAGATGCTCTGCAGTGTCTTGAATCGTGACATCTTCACAAAACCAGCCCTACCGCATACTGCAGAAATCAGTATCAGTGTGCCAGAGACGAGCGACACAACAGAGTCAGACTCGCTTTAATGCGCCGCAAGTGCAGTTATAATTCTTTCGTCTGTCCTGCTGGAAGATCAACGACGGCCGCATGCGGAGGAACTTTAAGACTTTACAGAGGCCGGCCAAAACCGAGCAGAAGAGTTAAAGATGAGTCTCGACTCAGCAAAAACACACACGCCTGCATTCAGTGGAACACGTTTAATTAATAAGAGTGATTGCATTAAGTAATGAAACGCAGGATCAATGATTACTGGATCAGAACAGAACCATCCTGCTTTGAATAATTTAATTAACTGCATTTTATGTAGAAGACAAGTGAGGTTTATTCATCCAAAACTCTTTACTGTGAGTGGTTGTGGCCCAAGACAAAATACAATGATTATATACTAGATTATATATTATACAAAGATTATAGTATCACTTTACAATAAGGTTCCATTAGTTAACGATAATGTATTAACTAACAAGAACGAACCATGAACAGTACATTTATTACAGTATTTATTAATCTTTGTTAATATTAGTTGATGACAATACAGTTGTTCACTGTTAGTTCATGTTAATTCACAGTGCATTAACTAATGTTAACAAGCAGAACTTTTGGGACAGTTTGGGAAATTGTTGATTAGCAATAATCTCTAGTTTGGCTGCTGTGAGGCATTGGAGAAAACATCATCCGACCAACCTGACGCTCTTTAAAGGGATAGTTCATAGTTCACCGAACAAACAAACTCATCTACATCTTAGATGGCCTAAGAGGCATAAGAATTTTAAAAAAAGGAATGGAAAAGCTAATTTCTGACCCTGCAGCATACTACCAAAAATAGTATGCAACAAATGTTTCAAAGCATATCAGTCACTACACGATATACACAGGTTGTCTAAACAGACATGAACAAAAGTGAAGTGAACCGCTGGTTTGGCACAGCTTCAATCGTGATCCAATTATGATATTAAGATGCTCTGCAGTGTCTTGAATCGTGACATCTTCACAAAACCAGCCCTACCGCATACTGCAGAAATCAGTATCAGTGTGCCAGAGACGAGCGACACAACAGAGTCAGACTCGCTTTAATGCGCCGCAAGTGCAGTTATAATTCTTTCGTCTGTCCTGCTGGAAGATCAACGACGGCCGCATGCGGAGGAACTTTAAGACTTTACAGAGGCCGGCCAAAACCGAGCAGAAGAGTTAAAGAGGAGTCTCGACTCAGCAAAAACACACACGCCTGCATTCAGTGGAACACGTTTAATTAATAAGAGTGATTGCATTAAGTAATGAAACGCAGGATCAATGATTACTGGATCAGAACAGAACCATCCTGCTTTGAATAATTTAATTAACTGCATTTTATGTAGAAGACAAGTGAGGTTTATTCATCCAAAACTCTTTACTGTGAGTGGTTGTGGCCCAAGACAAAATACAATGATTATATACTAGATTATATATTATACAAAGATTATAGTATCACTTTACAATAAGGTTCCATTAGTTAACGATAATGTATTAACTAACAAGAACGAACCATGAACAGTACATTTATTACAGTATTTATTAATCTTTGTTAATATTAGTTGATGACAATACAGTTGTTCACTGTTAGTTCATGTTAATTCACAGTGCATTAACTAATGTTAACAAGCAGAACTTTTGGGACAGTTTGGGAAATTGTTGATTAGCAATAATCTCTAGTTTGGCTGCTGTGAGGCATTGGAGAAAACATCATCCGCATTATAACCAACCTGACGCTCTTTAAAGGGATAGTTCACCCAAAAATGAACATGTGCTGTTAATGTGCTCATGCTCAGGCCATCCGAGATGTAGATGGACTTGTTTGTTCAGCAGAACAGTAAAGAAGATTTTTAGCTGAAACTGTGGGCTTTGAGGATTCATAAAATGCAAGTCAATGGCTGTGAGTTCATTCATCATAGGATCAGATACAATGCTATTTTGGCTCATTTCCAGCCGGAGTGACTGTCAGGTGAGTTTTGATTGAATAACTTGTAGATCTCTGAACCGCAAACTAGTTCACAAAAAGAACCGGTTCAAAAGAATGATATGTTCACGAACTGAACCGTGTGCCTGAGGCTCTGGATTACAGGTAATGTTGTAAATAATATACAGTTTCTTGCACAGACCAAACAGTTTGCTTCATAAGACCTCGATATATCATCAGGAGGCACAGGGATTCATTTCGTCTTGCCTGTATATGCTTTTTTTGACTCTCAAAGAGACGGTAGGCATTGACCAAGGATCACGGTTTGAGCTGAAAATCTTCTCTACTGTTCTACTGGAGAAAAAAGTCACCTACATCTTGGATGACCTGAGGGTGAGTAAATTAACGGCACATTTTCATTTTGGGGTGAACTAATGCATTAACGCATTTCTGCAAACCATCAGACAGTTTCATCCGTTAGAGAAGCGTCTTGATTGGGGGATGTTGGCAACGGCCCTCGATTCATTAGACGGTGCGGTCACGACTGTAATTAGAGTGCATTAACTCTTCAACTGCGCAAAAAAACTACTGCCAAATTCCCTCTCAGACAACAGCCTAAGAACTCATTTGCAGGCGCTTGTAGAGGCAGCGGCTGTGAATGAGGGTGTGTTGCAAAGAGTTTTCCCATGGCAAACCCCATTGATTCTTAGCAATCGGGTCGGCGCAAATGACTTATCTGCAGTCCAACAGTGTAATTGTCTCTATACGGATTTACACTCTGCCTTTGTGGGAAAGAACACATATTATGAAATACAGCAACTACGCAAGCTAAAAATGCCTTTATACTCAATAAATAAATAAAAGTTTAATATATAAATATAAATATTAATATCAATATTTATTTATTGAACACCATATTAACAGCAGAGGCTCTTTTCATGGCAAACGGAATAGCAAAATCATTAAACTTGCATACAAGAATGTATCTGAACATCAAAAAGAATAAAGAGTCGTTTTCTCGCTCTCGTCCTGATGTTCAGATCAATCACATCTCTGTCTCACGCCCGCTGCGTCCGTCTCACCCTCAAATGACAACCTCAGTCCAATTATATGCTGACGTTCTCCATGAGCCTCGATGACCGACCCGAGAGACACACACACACACACACACTCACTCACTCACACACACACACAGTCTCACACACACACACGAGTTTGTCTGATGTGACTCATGCGGCGCAGCAGGTTCTGGCTCGCTTTAATTATCCGTCTCTACAGCACGTCTCACAACACACAACACACTGCTGTATTAGTGTTACAAACTCAACACTCTGCACACACATTTAATGGATTTTTGCTATACCATGACCTTACACCTACAGCCAAGTTAGGTCAAATTTATTTATTTAGCACTCAAAGCAGCTTCACAGCAATAAACAAGAACAATTATTCAGCCGGAAAGCAGCTCTGCATAAGCGTGAGTAACCGAATTTAGGTTTTGATTTGAATTTTTAGCGTTCAACAATTATGAAAACCGATAATAAACCGATTATTGTGCCACATTCATGATAATAAACCGATTAATCGATTAATCATGTCTGAAAACATGGCATATTTTTTGTTATTTTAATCAACTGTCACTTCATGCTCTAAATCAACTGAGAATTTAAGTGGTCTTTTTGTTATAATTTTTTATTGTTGTTCGAACAATTAAATTGTTCTAAAAACTATTTATCGTCATAATCGAGCAGCCCTAGACAACAGTGCCATTATTCAGCTCAATTTAGTTCAATGTTAATTCAGCTACAGAATCAATGTTGCAAAGTTCATCAATAGTAAGTAAAATACTGTAGCAAAAGAAATAATGAGTTCTGGCTCATGAGGTTTCAGTATATTAGTGAAATCAATTTAAGACTGTTTCCATCCGTCTATCATCACACTGTAATCTTACTTGTAGTTGTTGTTGATATCAGATACTCTCCAGGCGTTCTGCATGTCAAATCCCATCCGCTTCACCTCCACCTCCATCCTGTGACGCACGTGATCACCTGAGAGACACAAACTGAATAAATCATCTTTCCATTGATGTATGGTTTTTAGGATCGGACAATATTTGGCTGAGATACAACTATTTGAAAATCTGGAATCTGAGGGTGCAAAAAAATCTAAATATTGTGAAAATCATCTTTAAAGTTGTTCAAATGAAGTTCTTAGCAATGCATATTATTAATCAAAAATTAAGTTTTGATATATTTACGGTAGGAAATTTACTAAATATCTTCATGGAACATGATCTTTACTTAATATGCTAATGATTTTTGGCATAAAAGAAAAATGTATAATTGTGACCCATACAATGTATTGTTGGCTATTGCTACACATATACCCCCGCGACTTAACACTGCTTTTGTGGTCCGGGGTCACATTTGATAAGCTCTAAATTCTCAGTATAATCAAAACGTTGCTGTCAAACCGGTTGCAAACAATCTACTCCATGCCTTCTGTCGTCTGATTAGATATAATTATGCGCATTCTGGAACATCGCATTAAAAAAAAACGCTGGATGGAAACGCCAAGATGCGCATAAATTCAAAAGAAAAACGTCTGCGCACATATGAGTAGGATAAACTTTTTATCTGATAAGGAAAAAATGCACATAAACTACGGTGGAAACACATTTATCGAATAAATTCCTCCATGCACATCGAAAAATTCATGTGACTTTGCGCTATGAGACGGGATAACTTGACTAGCAGCGGACCGATCTCGTTCACAGCGTCTATATGTTGTTATGGTCGTTCTGAAATGACAGACGAGAATTTCTGTATAATTGTTTTACACGACTGCGTTCCCAAACATCAGCATCCACCTCCGACAGCGTTTATTGGGTTTCGTCTGCTCGCTCAGAGGCGCAAGTAGTTTATATGAAATGTATTATATTCAGTGGCTTCTCCTAGTTTTCTTTGTATGGTTTTTAGGATCGGACAATATTTGGCTGAGATACAACTATTTGAAAATCTGGAATCTGAGGGTGCAAAAAAATCTAAATATTGTGAAAATCATCTTTAAAGTTGTTCAAATGAAGTTCTTAGCAATGCATATTATTAATCAAAAATTAAGTTTTGATATATTTACGGTAGGAAATTTACTAAATATCTTCATGGAACATGATCTTTACTTAATATGCTAATGATTTTTGGCATAAAAGAAAAATGTATAATTGTGACCCATACAATGTATTGTTGGCTATTGCTACACATATACCCCCGCGACTTAACACTGCTTTTGTGGTCCGGGGTCACATTTGATAAGCTCTAAATTCTCAGTATAATCAAAACGTTGCTGTCAAACCGGTTGCAAACAATCTACTCCATGCCTTCTGTCGTCTGATTAGATATAATTATGCGCATTCTGGAACATCGCATTAAAAAAAAACGCTGGATGGAAACGCCAAGATGCGCATAAATTCAAAAGAAAAACGTATGCGCACATATGAGTAGGATAAACTTTTTATCTGATAAGGAAAAAATGCACATAAACTACGGTGGAAACACATTTATCGAATAAATTCCTCCATGCACATCGAAAAATTCATGTGACTTTGCGCTATGAGACGGGATAACTTGACTGGCAGCGGACCGATCTCGTTCACAGCGTCTATATGTTGTTATGGTCGTTCTGAAATGACAGACGAGAATTTCTGTATAATTGTTTTACACGACTGCGTTCCCAAACATCAGCATCCACCTCCGACAGCGTTTATTGGGTTTCGTCTGCTCGCTCAGAGGCGCAAGTAGTTTATATGAAATGTATTATATTCAGTGGCTTCTCCTAGTTTTCTTAGAGATATTTAGTGCCAGTTTACCAGGAAGTGACGATTTTGTTCTCTTTGACTCGTTGGATGGAAACGGTGGTTTATTAGCAAATGTTTTATGCGATATTCCAGTTTTGCGCATAAATTTAATTCGAATCTTTGGATGGAAGCATAGCTATTGATGGTTTAGAGTTTTTTATCAAGTCAAAGCTCTTTTAGTGTAATTGTACAAACGTCCATCTTCAGCTCGTGCTTCTCGTGTCTTTTTGCGGTCAAATCTTGACTGATTTTTATCAAGTAAACGTCAGAATAACTGCAGTAATATCTCCAGATGAACACTTACTGGACTGAAGCAGCTCAGCTTTACTTGATTCTCCATCAATCATGTTTCAGAAAAATCAGTGCGTCTCAAATCTGATCATCAGGATCTTCTGAGGAGCGTTTATTTCTTCATCTCTCAATCATTGCATTATATGTTCGGATCATTTCAATCTCATCTTACGAAGACATATTATTGGAGATATAGAGCGACGACTGATATTTAGATCATTTTATGTCAGTAGCTGCTGTACCTGTTAAAAAGATCTCATTGATCGCAGCAGATTTTCATCACTTGTCATCCATACAAATATCAGCATCTGCACCCAATTGCATATTTTTGCTCAGTTTAAGTCTACCTGGTCTGCACAGGTGCAGGTGCTGGTCTTCATCGTCCGTGTTTCCTCCTAAACACCAGGCGTGAAACGCCAGCGCGAACAGCTCCTCCAAACGGGCTGGATGCGCTATGGCTCTGTTCAAGCGCTTCAGCCACTCCTCACACTGCTTGAACGTCGAGAAATGACACCTGACGCAGAAAACATTCACATTCACGCATTTAGCAGATGTCAGGAAACAACACGGATTACAGCGGATTCAGAAAAGGCCACAAAAACATGTGAAGCACAATGAAAACTGAGAAAGACAATTATATTTTACAGTAAGCTCTCATAGTTAATGCATTAATCAATCTATCAACAAGTTACAAGTAGCAGCAAGAAGAAGTATCTTAGGTAATGTTAATAAAAACAGTTGTTCATTGTTCACGTTGTTTACAGTGCATTAACTAATGTTACAGATGCAGATTATGGCAACTTTGGCCAACAACAACAACTCATTATTTTTGATAACGAGACGATAACCATATATTGATAACGGCTGCTGTACCTGTTAAAAAGATCTCATTGATCGCAGCAGATTTTCATCACTTGTCATCCATACAAATATCAGCATCTGCACCCAATTGCATATTTTTGCTCAGTTTAAGTCTACCTGGTCTGCACAGGTGCAGGTGCTGGTCTTCATCGTCCGTGTTTCCTCCTAAACACCAGGCGTGAAACGCCAGCGCGAACAGCTCCTCCAAACGGGCTGGATGCGCTATGGCTCTGTTCAAGCGCTTCAGCCACTCCTCACACTGCTTGAACGTCGAGAAATGACACCTGACGCAGAAAACATTCACATTCACGCATTTAGCAGATGTCAGGAAACAACACGGATTACAGCGGATTCAGAAAAGGCCACAAAAACATGTGAAGCACAATGAAAACTGAGAAAGACAATTATATTTTACAGTAAGCTCTCATAGTTAATGCATTAATCAATCTATCAACAAGTTACAAGTAGCAGCAAGAAGAAGTATCTTAGGTAATGTTAATAAAAACAGTTGTTCATTGTTCACGTTGTTTACAGTGCATTAACTAATGTTACAGATGCAGATTATGGCAACTTTGGCCAACAACAACAACAACTTATTATTTTTGATAACGAGACGATAACCATATATTGATAACGAGATGTTAGTTCCATAATATGTCACACCAATGTGAGATTTAAACAAGACATCAGGCAACAACATAATGCACAGTAGAAAAGAGACAGTACTTCTGAAACCTGGTAAGGAAATTTTAGTGTTAGAGTTTAATTAAATAATTATTTTATGATCTGTGTACGATATCAGCTTAATCGGATCAATACTGATAATTTAAGTCATAATATTGGCCAATACCATAACTGTTGACAAGGCATTTTCAAATTCATGAAGTGAGATCCTGATAGAAAAGCAAAAGTAATAATAATAATAATAATAATAAAATATATTACCTAACAGTAATTAAAACGTTTATATATATTATATACTAAGAAAATAATATTAATTAAAGAAGGTATTATTAATCCCAATTTCAGTATTCTCAAATGTTAAATAAAATATGAGTAATTAAAATGCATTCATTTTATTTTCTTATAGAAAAAATATATTAAAAAAATAGGCATAATAAAAACTAAAATCCCAATTTCATCACAACGATAACTTTAAGAGGATACAGTTTTTAATCAGCGCGTTTGAGGGAAAAATTCAAAAGTCAATAAAAACATAAAATATATTATTATCTAAAAGTAATTAAAACATAATATACATTATATATACACCCTAAAAAGTTCATATTAAAGTAGGTATTGTTAATCTCAAATTCAGCGTCCTTGAGATTATGATAAAAATGCAAAAGTTAAAATAGTTCAATTTGAGTTAATTAAAATGGATTTATTATATTTACTGTGTGTGTCTGTCTTGTCTGTGTGTGTGTGTGTGTGCGCGCGCATGTCTCTGTGTGTGTGTGTGTGAGTGAGTGAGTGAGTGAGTGAGTGAGTGTGTGTGTCTGTGTGTCTGTGTGAGTGAGTGAGTGAGTGTGTGTGTGTGTGTGTGTGGGTGTCTGTACCTCACTACTTTGGAGTCTTTGCAGATGATGTGCAGCTGAAACATATCTCTGCTCTCAACGCCCTCAATCAGCCTCAGAGGAACCTGCACACACACAATCAGCCAATCAGAGAGCAGAAGACCTCATCACATGACTGTATCAACCAATCATGAGTATCTAACAGCAAAAACATGCAACAATGTAACAAGAGTAACTCCTGACCTGTAACAATGTAACAGATTTAAACTGCAAGATAAAGCATGTAACACTGAGAGCATTTACAGATGCATTAAAAGCTGATTCAAACTGACTTCTGAAATGGTGTTATTGCAAGATATTAATGCCTTTAATATACTGACATCAGTTCTCAATATTTAACATGGTCTGCCCTGTTGCTTATATAATATATATCAATATATTTTACATATAATCATATAAAACAGTATAAAATATATTAATAGTATAATTAAATAATATTTTTTAAATACTGACATAAAAGGCTCAATAGGTCAAGTCTTAAGTGATTTCACCATTGTCTGTCCTGTTAATTATTTAATATATATCAACATATACAATAAAATGTAATATAATATAAAATAAATACAATAAAACAACTTTATATACTCACATAAAAGGCATTAATATACTTAGTAGTTAGTTAATTATATATATATATATTTATTCTACATAACATAAAACAGTGTAATTTAATAATATAATTTTTCATATACTGATACAAAAGGCATTAATATGCTCAATAGTTAGTCTTAAGCTTTTTTTGTCTGTCCTGTTATTTATACAATATATATATATATATATACTATATAATATAATATAATTAAATATAATTTAGTATAATATAGTATACATCTCGAATCTTAATGTAACCAGACTACATCAATGTGAGAAACAGAGAGAAACATCAAAACAAACAGTAACGGGGGAAATTACAGACATGAAAAGGAGGGATGAAGAGGTCAGAGGTCAGAGGTGAGCGTGCAGATTACTCACAGAAATCTCACTGTCCACACCAGGATACATCTACAACACCGACACAGGGATGAGGAAGAGGAAGAGAGGGAGGAAAAAAAAGAGGGAGATGAAAACATGACTCAGCGAAACGAGCAAAACAAAGAGGAGGATATAAATGGAAGGGTATGAAAAATGCACAAAGAGAGAGAGAGAGAGAGAGATCTTTGCTGAAGCTGAGCAAAAAGATCCAGGATTGTTAAAAAGAAAGAGCCTTAAATCTCAGGGGCACATGATGTTATACTGCAGCTGGGTTAACCGGGTGCCGAGTGCAAGGGATTCTGGGTAACGTCATTAAGATTCCAGACTTAGGGCTGAAGGAACGTTTGGTTAGCATAATGCAGATTACGACAAAATCATTTCATCTCATCCCTCAGTTTGTAAAAACAAGAAAAAAATGGAAAACATGGAGGTCTGTGCGATCAGAATAAAGCTCATATGTTAAAATAATACTGTCATACAGTGTCATGCATTTAAAAAATAGTGTTATTTTAGTATAATTTACACACTATTATAATATTTAAATTAACTTTTCAAATTGTTTTGTCAAAAAGTGACATGCATTGAACATCAGTGTTATTTTGTAATAAAGTATTATTGTATTTTTCAATATATTAAATGAGCTTTTATTTTTATATTTTCAGTTTTATTTTGTCAAAGAGACCAGCATTGAACGTTAGTGTTATTTTGTTATTATTTATAAATTATTACAATATTTATTATTTTAAATTAGCCATTTTTTATATTTTCAGTTTTGTTTTAATTTTTTCAAAGCATTGAACAGTAGTGTTACTTTTCATTTTTTGATACACTATTATAGTATTTATTTATATTTAAAATTAGGGTTTATTTTACATTTTCAGTATTTTGCAACAGGCGTTGAACATCAATGTTATTTTATTATTATTTATAACAATAATATAGTTATTATTGTTATAGTATTTATAAATATTTTGTATTAGCTTTTATTTTTATATTTCAGTTTTTATTTTTAGCAATTTTATTATATTTGTAATTCTTTAATATATTTGTGTTAGCTTTGTTTTCAGTTTTAGTACAACTTAAACCTATTTCAGTTCACTTTTAGTTTTCATTATTGTTTTAAGTTTAAGTCAGTCATCTAATGTTTACATTTTATTTATTTTGCTACAATATTAGAATTAGAATTTTAGATTAGAACTAGATTAGAATTTTTAGCATTATTATTATTATTGTTTATTATATTTTATAAATAAATGTTTACATTTAATGTATTTCATTTCAGCTTTATTTCAATTAATGAAAATATATATATATATATTTTTTTTTACAATAACAACACTGTTAAACGTGCAACATCCCTTTAAACATGTCGGAGTGACATTGCAATTATCAGGAAGTTTGTGTTTCCTCTGGTGAACGCGAGTCAGGACATTCACAGCGAGGACAGACGAGAGTTTGAACCGCAGGAGAAACTGTTCATTCTCAGCGCAATCAGTGACGTCAAGACTGCCTCCATCAGCAGACAATTTAAAAAAGAAACATCGAAAATAAACAACAGGCTAAAGTTCCCCCTTAAGAACTCTAATAAAGCCTCTCCTTTAAGATCAGCACTCCAGACATGAAGAGAGCCGACACAGAAATAGCACTGAGAGCAGACGGGGTCACGCCAGCGTTTACGTTTAACTCGAGTTACGTAATCAGATTACTTTAAGTAACTAGTAAAGTAGTACATTACCTTCAAATTACTTTTTCAAAAAAGTAACAAGTTACATGGTTTTCCTATTTATTCACGGACACCTCTCTCGTCCCTATGTTGAGAGAAATCGTGCAGAGAATTCCTTCGGCCTGAGGCTTACTCATTTCCCCTTTGGTGTGAAAGGGCCTTTATAGTTGGGAAAAATATAACTTTTGGGGTTTTTTTTGTTATTAAAAAACAAATAAGCAAGCCCAAACCAGGTGACAAAAAGTAACGCAAAAGTAACTATGCATTACTTTAATAAAAAGTAACCAAGTACCTCAATTAGTTACTTCATGGAGTTACGCAATATTGTAACGCATCACTTTTAAAAGTAACTTTCCTCAACACTGGACATCAACGATTCACTCAAGATGCTAGTTAAAAAAAAAAAAGGTGTATGTATTCGTGTGTTTATGTATATATAATTATTAAAATATCTTATGTTTAAATATGATGTATATATATATAAAGATGCTGCTATATAAGATGTAAATAAGATGCTATATTCTAATATATAAAAATGTATATGTACAGTATATATATATATATATAATTAAATATAAATATTAATGTATTAAATATTATATACCGTATTGACCCGAATATAAGACGATGTTTTTTTCTTGGAAATACATCTGAAAAAACGCGGTCGTCTTATATTCAGGGTCTAGACTTTGACGTGTCAATAATATTCGGGCCGATACAGAGTGTGTGTGTGTGTGTGTGTGTGTGTGTGTGTATATATTTTTTTTTTTAATTTTATTTTATATATATATATAATATTTAATACATATATACACTTGTGAAGGAGAAAGTATTTTAAATTTAAATTACACAAACCACATTAAAAGTAATCTAAACTTCAACTTCACTAAAGACCCAACTGGGACGCCAGCAGCAGTTAATGTGCTGGATGTCAGGGAGGCTGTGGGTGGAAAGAAAGAGAAAAAGAGGCCTGTGTGTCAACATGTCTGTGTTCAGACCTCCCAGAGCTGTGAGGTCAAGGGCTGCTGAGATCAGAGAAATCAAAGAGTGCCCAGACATCGGCTCTTTCACTGGGATGAGAGGAGACGAGCCCCTCGGCAGGAAAATCAAAGACTGCAACATCTGGACGACTATCAGAGGAGGTACAGCAGAGTCTGAACTTTAACTCTCTTGTGCTGTTGGTGCTTACATTGATGATGGAGTCTTTGAATTTGATGTGAAGCCTGTAGTTGGAGATGGCGATGATGGCATCGTCCGCACGGCCCAGGAACTCCACCCACTCGCCCTGCAGGACAGGGAATGGGATCTGGAGAGACGAACACAAAAACATGCCATTGAACTGTGCGTAAAACAAATTTAAATGGTATTGAGTCGTGACAAAATTTATGTCAATAACAATCATAAGCTCTGGACATTTATACAATTATATATACAACATTTTTAATTGATTAGCATTAATCCCAGTCTAAGTCTGCATGTTTCTGCATGTTTCTGTGTCAGTGAACGGCACGGTTTTGTCTGATACACAAATTCAGACACATGCACTGTTTTCAGTGTCTGCATCTCAATTATATGAGGACACGAACACATGAACTTCATTTCCAGAGCTGCTCCGAGACTCACTTCAGCAGCTTTACACAGCTTCATTTTAGAAAAACTACTGTCAAATACACACTGAAAGTAAAATGGAAAGACCTTCACGACAACCCGTCAAAATAAATGTCTGGTTTGACTTGAAGAAATTGTGACCGTAATATATTACTATTGTATTTCTAATTCTAATCTAGTTCTAATCCTAATGGTTCCTAATCTAGTTTTCCAATAAACATGCCATTGCATATTGCAAATATTGCTGGCTCTCTATTGTAAGTCGCTTTGGACAAAAGTGTCTGCTAAATGTAAATTTCTCTTTGCAATATACTTTAAAATGCAAAGGTTTTCATTCTCAAGTTTCTCAGTCAAGTTGTTTTTAGTCAACATAACTGCATCCCTTTCAGCCTGTAGTGGTTTGAATGTGGTTTCTCAGCTTTTTTTAGTCTGAACTATGAGAAACGGTTTCTTCTGTAGCTCTGCATCCCCCATAATGCCATCTGTGCCAGCGGTTTGTGCGGTTGTCCTGACTCACTGGCTCTCTGTAAACAGGACCAGAAAATCAGGCGGGGCGAGAGAACGAATGCTCTTCAAACTCCAAACACTGGAGCAGTTCAGGCCGTTCTTGAAGACCTTCTTACTACAGAGTAAACAAGGCAGCGTTCACCTTTCCAGCTTTTTCTGAAGCTGCATTCAGGTTTGCCATGGATTGCATAAGGCATAATTTGCGAGTGTGTGATTTGTGTCACCAAATGGAATTGAAATGCATTTGTTTTAGCAGCCTGACACAAAGCGAAAAAAAGTTAACAGGACTATTATATAGTGCACTAAAACCATAAAACAATTTTGTTATCTGAAATGCACTTAAATGGAAATAAAAAAAAAAATAATAATAAAAACAACCTAAACTTATTTTATTTCAGCTGGTTGTCAAGGCAACATTTCTTATTTTCATTTAGTTTATCTTGATTTGTACTAAAACAACAAACTAAAACTAAATAAAAATTAATGATAACTATATAGACATATGAAAAAACACTAAGAAAAAATGACAAAAAACAACAATTACTAAAAGTTTAACTGATTAAAATTAAAACAATATAATAATATAATAGAAGCTGAATAAAAACTAATAGCATCTCAATGTTTTATATATTTGCATATTTCATATAAATTCTATAATATATATATATAATTAATTGATTGATTAGTTAACATTAAAGAAATCATATTATATTAAATATTTAAAAAACAATACATTTTAAATAAATAAATGAAATAAAAATATATAAATGCATACAATATTTGTTTTACATAAAACTAAAACTAAAAAATAAAAAAATAAAAATTGATTATTTACTTTAACATGTTTCTGGTCTTGTAAATAATTATTCACAATATTCCAATAAAAATAAAAATAAAAAATAAAAAAAATAAAAAGGTTTTCAAAATTTTTCATTAAAATGTAGCAACTTGTTCCTCTGAAACTTTTCAGCTGTTCTTGAAGACCTTCTTACTACAGAGTAAACAAGGCAGCGTTCACCTTTCCAGCTTTTTCTGAAGCTGCATTCAGGTTTGCCATGGATTGCATAAGGCATAATTTGCGAGTGTGTGATTTGTGTCACCAAATGGAATTGAAATGCATTTGTTTTAGCAGCCTGACACAAAGCGAAAAAAAGTTAACAGGACTATTATATAGTGCACTAAAACCATAAAACAATTTTGTTATCTGAAATGCACTTAAATGGAAATAAAAAAAAATAAAAAATAAAAACAACCTAAACTTATTTTATTTCAGCTGGTTGTCAAGGCAACATTTCTTATTTTCATTTAGTTTATCTTGATTTGTACTAAAACAACAAACTAAAACTAAATAATAAAAATTAATGATAACTATATAGACATATGAAAAAACCCTAAGAAAAAATGACAAAAAAACAACAATTACTAAAAGTTTAACTGATTAAAATTAAAACAATATAATAATATAATAGAAGCTGAATAAAAACTAATAGCATCTCAATGTTTTATATATTTGCATATTTCATATAAATTCTATAATATATATATATAATTAATTGATTGATTAGTTAACATTAAAGAAATCATATTATATTAAATATTTAAAAAACAATAAATTTTAAATAAATAAATGAAATAAAAATATATAAATGCATACAATATTTGTTTTACATAAAACTAAAAACTAAAAAAAAAATAAATCCAAATTGATTATTTACTTTAACATGTTTCTGGTCTTGTAAATAATTATTCACAATATTCCAATAAAAAAAAAAAAAAAAAAAAAAAAAAAAAAAAAAGGTTTTCAAAATTTTTCATTAAAATGTAGCAACTTGTTCCTCTGAAACTTTTCGGCTGACATCATGAATCTCTTCTATTTTTCAGCCTCTCTTTATCTCCTGCTCAATATTTTCCCATTAAATATTCAATTTTACTAAAATTACAGTAGATTACAGAAGCAAAACGGTTTGTGACCAGCATTTCATGTTGACTTTATCGCTGCCGTAAAGCCAGAGCACACACTACCATACACAAACCTCACGCTCGTACCGTCTGCCTTTGACTGCTTCCTATCTAGGGATGGTGAAGCTGTCTCACTCTCAGTGCTGTATGAATCAGTCTGAATGTGGAGGCCAAAAGCAGCACGTCCACATGAGATCTTACTCATCAACTTCCTACTGTTACCGTCTCTCCACACGTCTGCACCGCAGGTACCGACACAGAGCATGACAAAGACAGCAAAAGATGAAGAAAGACGTCTGGGCAAGAGTCTACAGCCTACATAGACAACATCCTCTCCAAAATGAAGTGAATGATTTGGGACGCTCTACACGTGCAGCAACGCTTATTAATACTTTCAAACCCTTATGATTGAAATCAAGCCTTAATTGGTCTATTATTAAGATTATTATTATATGTGCGGTGAGGTTTAGACTGCTCTCTGTGTGTCGACCTGCGAGATAATTAACGAGCCGGCGACTGATAACATGTCAGACAAGCCTGGAGAATATATATAGAGTCATACAACATCCATCTTTCATGAATTACTGCGAAACTACATCAGGACAGAGTCATTACACTCAGATTTACAACCAGCTGTTCACATACACACAAGAACAGCTCGTATTTAAGAGATATTTATGGGCAATTGCCAGTGTTATTAACTAAAACTGAAACTGTTAAAAAATGCTTCTGGTAATTGAAATAAAGCTGAAATAAAATAAAAATATTAGATAAAAAAACGTATTAGATAAAAACTTAACTAAAACACTAAAATTACAGTTAAAGGACTAAAATTACTAAAAGTGAAATAAATATAAAATAAAGCTAAACATAAATATTAAAAAAGGTTCAACCAAAAATACTAAAACTGAAATAAAAAAAAAGCTATACAGAAAAAAATACAAAAAATTCAAAAGCACATAAAATTACTAAAACTTCAGCTAAATTTAAAATGAAAACTGAAAAATATACTAAAACTGAAGTTAAAGGGTTAGCTCACCCAAAAATGAAAATTCTGTTTATAAACACATAAAACTAAAATTAAAAAGAAAACAAAAAATGTAAAAAAATAAATATAAAAAAAACCTGTAAGAATACTAATAAATACTATAACAGTGTATAATTAATACTGCCAATTGCATTATAGAGTTCAGAGAATTCTTTGGCATAAATATCACAACCATGAGCTCATTAACATATGCTGACCCATATTTACATTTCAAAACATGTTCAGTGGCCTGATGAATACGTTAGGTAAGCAAAGATTAACCAATCACAATAGAGGTCATTTATATACAGATGTCTTAAAGATACAGTAACAAAATCAGAGATGGGAGAAAATGGTCAAATACAGACAAATATGAAAGTAAAGATGTAAATGCACATAAAATCATGCACAAAACGTGCATGTTATTCCAAATTAAATAAAAGATTGCTTTTCATTATCTTTCATCAAAGTTGAATAACTTGCTCTCTGAAACAACTTTCTCTTTCAGAGGTTATTTATATACAGAAGTCTTAAAGGGACAGTAGCAAAATCAGAGATTGCATAAAATGGTCACGAAAAGCTTAACTATGGATATTTTGCTGCAAGAATCCTTGACTTACATTATAAGTAGACTTCAGGGAGAAATAAAATACTATAGAGCGCAGCATGGTGTGTGTGAGTGCCGGTGCATTCTGCGGCTGTAATGCTGATCTATGGAAAACCGCATCCATATTTCATGGAGCTGCATGCCAACCAAGTGACACTCGACGTGGCACGAAAGCAGCGAGGCTTCAAAGGGATCAGGTGAGCGCTGGGAGAACGACTCTTACTGCTGAACTTCACAGACAGAGCCTGACAGAGAACTCAACGCTGCTCGAGCGCGACATGCAAAGATGTGTAAAACCCACGGCGCAGAAAACACAATAAACAAAGACGGAAGACTGTATGACTCAAATTCAGACTCCAATCCCAGTGCAGGAGGATGCTTGCAGTAACGACGACTGGGTTCTGTGTTATTTGCTCAAGTAAAAAAAGGGGGGGTCAAAACTGTAACATTTTTACTGTTTTGTCTTGCTTTTCAAAGAAAAAATCAATTAGAAAACAACAATTTAAAAATATTTAACACTGAACATTTTTTAACATTCTAGCAGACACTATACCAACAAAGCACAATTTAACTTAAAATTAATAAGTTAGTAAAATAATATTTTTTAGCGATTGGATTTAGCTTCTTGAATCAGGCGTGTACTTTTACTGTAAAATTAAAAGCAGCCTTGCTGAGCAGAAGAGACTTCTTTTAAAACATTAGAAAATATTACAGATCCCAATTTGAACACTATGTGTGAATGTTATAATAAATGTATTAACAGAGCTGTTGTAATTATCATTATTATTATTGTCTTACTTTTTATTTTATTTTACAGAACAACAGTAAAATTACAATACTAACATTTATTAATGTTGGAGTTCTTGCTTTCTCTCAACTTTTATTTTGCCCGGAAACGTGCAGGAAGACTTTTTTTGTTCTTCTTTTTGTTGATAACAGATTTATAAATGAGTCTCATTACGAATACGTCGCACGTAACTTAACTGGACAAAGTTACAGATGTCCTCTCACTTAAACAACTCTTAAAATAAAGTGCTCTATGACTAGAAAAGAGATAGAAATAGCAATTAACTAAAAAGGAGTTGCTGTATATAACAAAACAGATGTCATTTCTCACTGCATTTCTTAAATCGTCCTTTTTCACTAACCTTATTAAATGTGTTATCTTTCACCTCAAATTCTTACAACGTTTCAATTAATTCAGAGCTGGATAGCTGTTACCATTCAAATAAAATCAGTATCAACAAGCTCCATCTTTCCACTGCAGCAAACACAGAAGCTGCATCTGAAGTGGCATTAGATGCATTTACAGACTGTTTAATAAAGCTGAGGTGCCATAAATGCATTTACACTGAAATAAATAATTTCACAAGATTAATGTATTAAATATTTTTTAAACATACAAATAAGAAATGTTGGGAAAATGCAATGATAGTTTTAAATACGAAACCAAACCAGTAGGTGGCGCCAAATGACTGTTTGAATGAGTGAGTGAGTCATTCATTCAACAGATTCGTTCAAACGGCTGATTCATTCAGACACGAGGCAAGTGACTACTGTCTTTATGAATGGGTTACTGAATCATTGACTCACTTGATTTGTTCAAAAACGTGGATTCATTCAGTAACGAAACACCGCTGTGTGCTGCACAGACACAAAACAGCTCTGCTGTGGCTTTGACTGGAACTACATTCATCAGCGAAATTGAGCAAAAACAGTCAATATTGTGTCTAAAACGTAAGTGACTTAATTTTAACTTCTTGTTTATTGAACTACTATTGTATAAAATCACACTGCAATCGTCTTCAATCGGTGCATCTCTAACATTAAGTGCTACATCTAGGTTTGTGCAAAGTCACTGAATAAGAGTCAATGTCAGGTTCTGGTGCTCTTGTTCCCGTGTCTGGTATCTGGACGTCCCTGATGGATCGCTGTCACTGCTTTGTCCTTTTGATGAATTTCAGTCTTTTCACCTCCACATCTGTTACCCACCGTCTCCTCAGACCTCGCATTTGATTTTCTTCTCACCGCGGTACAGCACACACATTTCACCGCAGAGGACAGACGTGTGTGTGTGTGTGTGTGTGTGTGTGTGCGTGCGTTAACCCACTTTCTTCACAGAGAACGACACGGACATTAGGAATGAAACTGACCTGCAGAGCGTCGTCTTCTTTGAGCAGCTCTTTCTGGGGGAACAGGTCCCGGGCCTGAATGTACTCCAGGCTGGGCGGCCCCTCCTC